CTTAACAAAATGTAATGTTCAAATTGCAGAGGCACTGATTTATAATATATATAAAGTATTAACAGAGGAACTCATTTAAGTGCAGAAGAATTTCAGCATATTTGAATCCATCCGTCATGTTTACTAAAAACAGAAATGTGAAGACGCCGTGGACGTGTGTCCTTCCAAGCTGCTTCAGGCAGATGTTTGGCTGCAGCTGCTGCCGTCCTCCTTCTCTTTTATGGAGGAAATTCTTAGCGTGCAGTTAAAGATGATGAGACGTTGGCGTGTTTGCTGCTGTCAAACCCACAGTATGATCAGGGGTGGACCGTACCAGTGGGTTAGTCCTCCCTCTGCCTTCTGTCCTGGCTGGAGCCGCCATAAAAACGGCGGTTTATATAGCAGCTCAGTCCGTTGTTATTGTGCCAGGCGGTGAGTAGAGGCGTGACGCCACAGGTCCTGGAACGCTGCACGTTCTACTACTGCCTGTAAACTTGGTGCCATTAAAGGGGAATGTGGAGGAGCTGGGTGTGGCTGCAGAGCAGCGCTTCATTCACTCTGGAGGATGATTATGAAACCGCTTGGCCGTCCTCCAGATCAGACGGCAGAAACACGCAACCGTTCCTCTCACCGACACCGAGCGGCTTTCCTCCTGCATTCCTCACATTTCTGCTGCTCCCACTGCATGGCTTATTATCCACTACAGTAAAGCATTTCCGCTGCGGCTCAGAGAGTTAATGAAAAGTAACCAGATTACATCATCATCATGCTTTAAGCTGTGGTGTGTTTAGTTTCTGGAAAGTTGATTATAAAGAACATAAGATGAACTGGTTTTTGTTAGTACAGAGATGTGTGTTGGGCAGTAGAGGCCTAAAGTTTTCCTTTCCTACTGACGCTGCAGTGGCAGTAAAATTTCACACTCCTCCTATTAGAAGCTCTGCGTCTGAATGTGGTTTCTGTGCAAACACCAGGGTTTCACCATCAGTGCTCGCTGGTAGGAAGCCTGTCTGCTTTGAACTCGCTGCAGATGTTTCCGTGTTGGTGTGAAGAAAGGGGAAGTAAGTCCACCACGATCAAAAGCAAACCTTTTTACAACTCTTTTATAGCTGGATTTAATCATGACAAATCCTTGATGTTCCGCCCCAACAAATGATGTCTTTTGAGCATCTATGCTCATCTGCACGGCCCAATTTTTCCTCAACGCACAGATTCCATCCCTCTAAAGGCCTGAACACATCGGTTCCATCCGACTTTTTAATCTCTGATGTTTTTCCCCATGTCTCACTGACTGTCTAGAGCGGCTCTGACCAGGCAGGCTGAGCAGATCTGAGCTCTGTCTCTGTGCTGTTCACACATTTAAACAGTTTCCCACATTTGACTTGAACAGATTATGAAAAAATCCACTGGAGAATTCTAAAAAGCAAAGCTCTACTTAATAAGTCTGTGCAGCATCTAGAACCAGAACAGTTAGAGAATGTTCATCTATTAAAATCATAATGAGATCTACGTCTAAAGAAAAGAAAAACGCAGCAATAAACGCTGAGTAGGGTGTGTAACATTGATTGGGCTGAAAATGGCATATTAGCTGATCTATGAGCCCTAATGCAGCCTGGTTAAAAGCCCTAGAATGAAACGACAGGTTTTCTTCCTTTTATGGTATGATCATGAATATTTAGATGAGCTGTGCTCTGATTGGTTGGTTTATAACGAGCGAAGCTGCTGAGCAAAGATGCATCATAGCAACAAGCACTCACTCACTGAAACATCATTGATATGGCAGGGTGACCAGACGTCTGCTTTTTCCAGGACATGTCCTACTTTTCATACCTAAAAAAATGTACGGGGGGAATTTAAAACTCGTCTGGGATTTTGGTCGACTGCAGTGCAGCACGTAGTCGAAACAGGAAGCCAGCGGGGGGGCGGAGCGACCAAACCCGACCCAGTGACCGTAGCCTGGACACCGGCGTACCGTCATCGGGTCTGGTTCTGTCGCTCCATCCCCTGGGGGGCGGGGCCTGGTCAGGTCCAGTCAGCCTTTTCAGAAACCCAAGTCTGGTCTCCATAGATATGCTAGCATTGCTATCTACAGCTTAGCAACAGAACCATCCTCCCAGCTGCGGTTGTGATGGCCTCACGGTGGGAACAGCCCCTCGTTTCAGGAAAAGAAGTTTAGCCAATCCTGCTTTGAACTGATTTTGAAAGCTGTCTTCATTAAAATGCTTCGAGCAAATGAACAGCTGAGCATCAAACTTTGCTGGGATCTTCTGATAGACCAAAATAATCCATGCTTGTCCAGTCTTCAGATCCTTGGGAAGACTGTGAAAATGTTCCCATTTCTCTGTGCAGCCTGCAGCGCTGCATTTCCACCCGTGGTTCTGGCTCATCCACTCTGTGCTTCGTTTGGATTCGCCCGTTTTATGGTGGAAGTTTAGAATATTGAGATTTGCAGAGAAAGGAGGTGTTGATGGGGTTTGAACTTCTCTCTACGTCCATTTCACCCACTGAATGTTATTCATCTATGACAATGGAAACTAGGTTTGGCATTCTATGACCCCTTTAAAGAAATTCATGAAAATCCTCCCCTGTACCTTTAAGAGCTGTTAGAAAATAAAGGGTTATGGAGGATCCTTGGAGAACCAGGATCATTCCCTTCTGTTCAGCTCACAGCGGGTTGTTCCTGTGGGATTAGAGAATCAATGGAGAAGGTGCAGTTTGTCAGACATTGATGGAAGATGGTGAAACGGCTCCAGTTTCGGTTTTAACTGCCTGCTGCTGTTCCACAGAAAACCCCCAGGAAATCAGAGAAGCTCCGCCTGGAGGAGGTCGAGGTGACGTCGCTCACTGATGAGGGCCTGAGGGACGAGTTGCAGAAGTATGGAGTGAGTGTGGGACCAATCGTAGGTGAGTGCTCCTCTATCGCCTCCTAACTCTGAGGACTAAATGTTGGTGATGGACCAGACCATGACCAGTCCTGCTCCGCTGGATCCTGTTGATATTAAACATGGTGACACTCAGAGGACGGTTAAACTCATTCCCTGCTTCAGTCGCTCTCTAGGTTGGAACCGTCTCAGTGATCCGGCCCAGACAAGCCGGGGTTTAACAGGAAGTGGCTCTTCTAAAGGTTAAACCACATTCCTGAGTCGATGCAACCAACTGGTTTTCCTTAGATAGAAAACTTTGAATCAATCTGACTGGATGATCTGGTTGAACTTTGAAGGGACCCAAGATGACATGATGTGAATTGGAGCTATAGAAATAAACTCAATAGAATAGAATCCCTAAAGCCCCTGTAACACCTTTATCCAGCGTCTGCCTGACGTCCCAGAATCTCCTAAAGCGCTGGCATATCCTGAACTTTCTATTAATCTAGCTGCTGTTTACCGCCCACCAAGAAAAAAGAATAAATAAAGAAAGATAAATAAAGAAAGAAAGAAGGTTTTTAATGGCAGCAGATTGAGCATCATGTCTGCTAGGAAGTGTGTTGGTTGGTGGGTGTGAACTAGAGACTGACACGGGAGTGGATTTTCACTCCTGTC